AGTGTTGTCAGTGCAATATTGTGGACTTTCGAGTGTTGACAAAGCTTACTGTGGACTGTAGTAGATAAGTTGAAGGCAGTGTTAATGGCATTTAAAAACCTTGCAGACATGTCTTCACGAAATGTGTAGGATTCTTTGTGCGAACAGAAAGCTGTCGTTTGGCTGCGTGTTGTGTACCCTCTTCTCTTCGACCAAAACTAATGCTGCTTTTGAAAAGTGTACTTTTCACTTCGCTGACCTAGATTTCTGTGCGCAAAATATGTAACATAAACCCAACGAAAGTGTTTACATGGGAAAAGAGTTCAACTCGTACAAGATAACTTTGGCACACCAGGGCAACCCGGAATCCGGAACCGGAACTGAAATCCGGAATCCAGAACCTGGAATCCGGAATCCAGATATTATGAATGACAGTAGAAATAATTCACTTCAGCAATGTCTAATTAATAGATATAGGGGAAAATTATTTTGTTTTTTATTTTCTTTGCTTTACTTCAACTACAAACTGTAATTGTTAACAAATTATTGACTATTTTAGTTCTGAACAACCCTTAGCTATACATCTGGCCCGGTTGTTTTAATAGCTAGATAAATCTATATATTGGGTAAATCAAAAGCCAAATTTATACTTCCTGTAAACTGCAGTTCACTTATTGAACAAAATGGCAATTACCAACAAGCTTATTTTAGACGCTCTCAGAGTGCTTGGAATCAAATTACAACGCACGATATTTAGATTTTCATAATCATAGCCCTTGCTAGAAATAACCATTGCCCGAATTTCAATAGATGGGAAATTTTTGTTTCAAAAAAGAATAAGTTTGAGGTCCTTTTTACTTGGCCTCTAATTTTTTACAGGTAAAAGCTATGCAAAGTAATTTTTGCATATTTTAAGAACCTGTTTTCTTTGATTTATGGATTCCGGATTCCGGTTTCAGTTTCCGGTTCCGGATTCCGTTCTCCAGTTTCCTGGTTTTAGAGTTGCCCGCACACCAACATGTCCTCCGTTTCATTGTTTCGGAAGTGAAAATGCTCAATAGCTATTTCTCCAGAAGCCAAGGCGGCAGATGTAAACCCAGTTTATTTGAAAACACTTTCATAGAACCTTTCAGGACTTTTCAGTCTTGAAGGTCTACATCCACAATTCAAGAGGCTCTAGGTCATTTTAAAAGTTCAGATCTAGATTTGAAAAACATTGTTGACAACGGGAAGCCGCAACGCCGTCAATACACCTTTTTCGCATGG